AGTTTACGTGAAATCAAACATTTTATGAGCCCCTTGAAGACGTTCTCGAGTTTAATCAAGAAGGAAGATTGCTAGCTTTGCTAACAACGACCATTCAGGCCCTACCTCAAAATATGAATACTAAACATTGCGCCAAGTTCTAACATTCAAAATATTACCTACACATACCCTGAAACTCGAGAGATATGATACTCACCTATCTAAAAAAGAACAAGGTCAAGGTAAGACGATCCAAGGCTTCACGATTACTGCAAGAAGTTCTGCGAGGAAAAGGAAAGTCCATTAGACCCTATGGACCCTACTCCTTTTCAAATTGGAATGTTGTTAACAAATTTCAAGATATGTGTCTGTAACGTTTTGAATGGAAGATTTTGGGGTGAAACTCGGGTTGGTAGAGCAGACGAAAACAGCGCCGCCCCATCGCGTGAACCCCCCCCCCCGAACCCAAGTTTCACCAAGTTTAACATGTGCACATATGCGTTTGTTCGATATTTATAAATCTGAGGAGAGGTTTGTACCCTGAAACGTAGTGGAAATAAAAGTGAAGCAAACTTCTTTTCTGAACCAAATCAAAAACCGATGAAATGCAAGGAAACGATATTTTTCGGATAACTTATAAACAGTCAGAAGGAGTTCAGGAAATGATAGGACAGCATAATAACTTAACAAAAGAAAAAAGAAGAAAGAACAGAAACCGACCTTTTTGAGGAATCTGACAATCCTCTTCAAATCGTACTCAGTACCAACACCCTGAACAGTCGTAATAGTTTTCCTTCCAGTACGCTGCTGGATTCGAATGTGGCAAAAGCCTTGACGAGCACCGTGTTCGTCTTCAAGCTGCTCGAACGCGTCTGGAACAGAGAAGCTAAGTTTAATCTTAACAGCCCTGGATTGCTTTCAGAGAGAAAAAATCAACTTCCTAATACTCTTGATCTTTCTACACAAATAAAATGGCGAACAGTGAAAAGTGGAAATGTTCGCGCCGTAGTGCTTAGTTGGGGGGGGGGGGGACCACGGTCGACGGACTACTTGAACTCAGCCCTTTAAACCGCCTCTGCGCTCTCTCGCGGGTCCCTCTCCTCTCCAAGGCTTAGTCCTAGGGCATTCACCCGTTCTCTAATCGTCTGTGCTCTAGCCATCGCGGCAGGACCATTGAGGAAAAATCAAGTAGTCCGTAAACCGGGGGACCACGCGGCAGTGTGGCGCTTTGTCCGGCTTCCTCTGCAAGGCTTAGTCCTCGGCGCTACCTGCCGAAACTGCTACGATGCGGCGAAATAGTAATGGACCCTGTGACTAAGTCTCAGAATTGCAGACGAGATCCCCCCAACTGAGTTAGCACCCGCGCCGCTAATGCCGATCTAATTTGTGATGGCAATTGCCACCGCTAGAGCCGAAAGGGTTACAGGAGGATTGCACGATAAGAACGAAGGTTGAAGAAGGGGAAATGCCCTAGTGGGGAGACAGGCGGACCTCTTGAGGGTGCGAACTGACACACATTGGCAGCGAAAGTTTGACCTCGGCGATCTATCATGGCTCACTCTGGCCCCGTTCATGGATCGCCATTAATGCGATTTAGCTATCATTGCTGATAGGAAAACATGCGTGCTGCTCTCAAAAAGTTGCCGATTAAGTGCGAGAAAGCGATTTGAGCGTTACGCTCGAAGGAACTAGAGTGCACACTCGTAACTGATCCTGCCATTACACATTCTTGATGCGGATATTGTGCGACGAACACATTTCAGTCGATACTCATACATCCCTTTCAACATATTCGCTGAATCGCCAAATCGTCAAGCCGCATTAATTGCAATCTATAAACAGGGCCTCTTGAGCAGTTGGCGGGGCACGCCCACCGACTATCTAATCAGCCGCCGCAGCTATACGTGGCGGTATTAGCGTTGAAGAGGGCATAAGAATGGAAGTCACATCCAATGCGAAAACCAACAAGCAAGGAAAGGGTCCCATTTCTGGCTTCTGGATCGTTTGGTTTTTCCATTCTTGTTATACCTATACCTTCCTCAACTTAATTGAAACGAGTTGCGTCTCTCAATTCTGCCTCTAAAGCAAACAAAATGAAAAACAGCTTCAAATGTACGAACTACGGACTAAATTTCAACTAGCTAATATATGGAGGCGGCGAGAACGCTGCAATGTAACGAGACTCCCAGCGCGTCCTTCCGTGCTTCGTAACACAGCAAATATAAACATTGTAAATTCGGTGCAATACAAGTAGAGTGGGCACGCCCAGCTTTTCACGCATGTCAAGTGACTGCCCTCACCCCCAACCAGGGTCAACGCCGTTCGAACAGTTCGAAAAGGGGGTCGCATTGCGCGCTTCAGGGAGGGGAGGGGGTAGCAGGGAAATGTGCGAAAAAAGTTGCCGTTTCAGTGGTTGTATATACCCCCCGCTCGACGGCTATTTTTGGGGAAAAAGTAGGCGGAGTTTCGGAGTTTTAGGTAGGTTTTGGCTGTGTCAACTGGTCTCAGAATCAAATACTATAGAAGAGGGAGAGGTCGCGGTGGGGGAAGGCTGGTTGTATTGGGGGGTCGCAACTGTGTATTGGTGGGGGTCGCAACTGGACCCCCTCCAGAGGGGGGTCGCAAAAATCCCGAAAATGTTCGAACGTGACGGTTGACCCTGCCCCCACCCCCTAGATTGGCTACACTCCCCCTGGCTTACTAAATTCCCCTTTCTCGTGACAGTGTAGTAGCGGGCAACAGTCCCACTTATATACATTTATGCTTAAAAAATGCAGCGTGCCCACCCTACTTGTATAGCACCGTAAATTCTTCAAAAATCACTAGATACTTTGCTTTAGCATAAAACTAACCTTTCGGCTTATTCAAATTGGTGATATTCGCCATAAACAGTAAGAACTTTCTAGTGCGTTAGACCTGAAATATGGTGCTCAAGCTGAAACCACAGGGCTTTGATGAACAGAAAACAAGCAGTGATGAAGGCAAGACATGCGGGGATTCGCTTTTTTCGCAGAAGCTTGCGAAGATCACAAAACGGACAAAGAAAGACCAGCTTATTCTTTTGATGTTTTGAACGCAAGTAAGAGAGCAGGCAGAGCAAAACCGATTACATAACACTGCCGCATGTTTCGTTGATGTGCCACACAATACTTCAAACTACACTATACTGCAAGCATTGCGTTTGTAGTTCGACAATGGTGTAAAAAGTTACAAAATTTGTTAAGAAAAGCGGGATTGAAGACTTTCGAACAAAATATACGAACTTGCAGCTTTCAAAATTACTGCAGACAATTATGATTTCAATCCTAACAGGCAGACATCTAAAAAGCGCATCACTTTGTCAGCCAATGAAATCTTACAAGACAGTTCCGCCCCTGGGCGCTGCAAGCAGGAAATGAACGACATATTTTCCGAACAATATTTTTAAACAACAGGTACTTATCACCGAATGTGCAATTTATCAACAAGGATCAGCATGAACGAAGATTCGAGTATTTTGGATGCGCGTGCCTAAATTTAATATAAAGGTCAAAGTTTGCTAACTACTTGTAGGTCCTGTAAAGAAAACGCTCGCGATGGAGAAGCTACCGTATCATTTTCTGATTCTACGTTATCGCTTTTATTATTTCCTTCCCAAGGGTTTTTGTTGTATTAAAACGTTTTGAAGATCTCTCTACAGTTATTCATCCGTTCATTATGCAGTTTTTGTTGCTTTTTCGCAGTTCCAGTGTTTCGAAGCCACTTTAATGCACGACAAGCATCCTGAAAAGTCTATTTCTATTTCTTATGCATTGCTTGGGAACATTGCGGTCTTAATCGCAGTCTCTATTTATGGTTTAAATGATCGGTTTATGGTGTTTTACAGAACTTGGCAAAATCAGGATGAGTCGCGTTCGTACCAAGACCGTGAAAAAGGCGTCCCGAGTGATCATTGAAAAGTACTACACCAAAATCACTCATGATTTCCACACGAATAAGCGCATCTGTGATGAAGTAGCCATCATTGGCAGCAAGCAATTGAGAAATAAAAATTGCTGGCGTGAGTCGTTGTTCGAATTTTTATTTCGAATTCCCTTACTGATTTTTGTTTATTCGTGTGTTCACTGCTAGTCTTCAACTGTTAGCTATTACCATAATTTACTACTTTTTTTCTCTACTGGTTTGTATGTTGTGTAGTGACAAATGGCGCTGCTTATGCATACGTTTTGGGAACAAAAGGAGAGCATGTGGCACATGCTGGGGGACCATGGTGTCCCTTAGCCTAGATCTAGGTAATGTAGCGGACCCGTCTAGGTGATTTATTAAAGACATTGTCCTCTACTTACCTGTGTATGCGTAAGCCGATTGCGGAGAAGAGGGCCATATCGCATTCATAATTCATCGAAGTTGCATTTGTGCTGATACGGAGTGAACCAATGTTGTGCAAAACGCTGTAGTTGGTTTTATTTCGCGAATGCGCACGCCCACGTTTGATCTTCTTTCGCGCTTTAGGCTTCGAGTTAGCTCTTTTGCATTGGAGATGCACGTTACATTGAAATGGCGATGAAACAATAAATGCCCCACAAAGTGCTAACCGAGGTATCCAATAGGTTTTGTTAAGATTGCGCGTATTTTGGCGATTATGCTACAACAGCTCAGAAAAAGCTGAGGTTATGAAAAGCGCGGTCGCTAAGAAATTGTTGTAAGCGGTCTTGATAAAATGGAAATGAAGCAAAGCAAACCGTAGCCATCGCCCAAACAAGAACTTCCTCTTCTTCATTAGGTAACGAGTGGCGACCAGGAGGTGACGTTGTCTAGAACTGTGCTGGCCTCCACGACACCGCTAATCTCGCGCGTATTTCAAATTAGCATCTACGTCGCATCCACATTGCGGTTATCGAGCGCGAGGCTATCTCGTCCATAAGTATTTTGTCGCCATCAGGGCCGTATGCTATGCTCCCCCAACCGGGGAGGGGTCCCCGTCACATGGCCGATGTCAGAGTCTGCGATTGGAGCGATCGGTCAAATGCCAATCGCGCGACCATCGCGCGATTCGCGCGACGATCGCGCGATTGACATGAGTCCCATCATGACCAATCGCTCCAATCGCGCGATGGGCGCGATCACTCCCGTTGTGGCTGGGCGCCCCCTCGATCGATACGTTGACTGAGGCATCGATCGAGAGGGCGCGCCCTGCCACAACGGGAGTGATCGCGCCCATCGCGCGATTGGAGCGATTGGTCATGATGGGACTCATGTCAATCGCGCGATCGTCGCGCGAATCGCGCGATGGTCGCGCGATTGGCATTTGACCGATCGCTCCAATCGCAGACTCTGACATCGGCCATATGCTATGCTCCCCCCGACAGTTCTCGGGGAGAGGCCACGCCCACCGATAGCCGGGGATATCTCCCCTATCGCCTGCCGATCGGGGCTAGCCGGGGATACCGTAATTTCGTAGCCGCCGTACGCATAATTGTCTGTCGCGCGCACAATTCTTCTATGGGTTGCGTACTGCAGTTTTAAGAATTGCTTATTTGTGAGTACATCACTACAAATATGATGTGCAGAATAAGGTTTAGTGTCGGACACCCTTAATCAACCCCACCAAAACTTTTTTCAAATGATTTGGTCACGATCGATCAATGATTTTATTTATTTATTTTTATTTATTTATTTATTTGAACTACACTCAAAGGTGCGCACAATAAAAACACGGAACACGTATGAAAGGCAGTGAAGTTTAATCAGCTACACTTGGGACCACATTTACACTAAGAAAGCCGGATAAATATATTGGATGTATTGGATTTCCTAGATGAGGTGGCGAAGAATCAGTATAGTAGGATCCACGTCATAATTAGGGCAGCAGGATACATATACATATATTTTTGTTCGCGAGGGATCAATGAGAAACTTCACTATCAAAACATGAATCATAACAGAGTCAACTACCAAGTAAGATAACCAAGCCTGGAACCGCAGCATGTAGGGCGGATGCAGGTTGCATCTCATTAACCTAAACACAGACCCTACCGCTGGCCCAGTGGTGCTTACCTGGTAGTTGACTGTGTTTATATGTATACACATATGTTTTGTTTCTGTGCCGTGTGTTGTTAAGTCAAAAAAGCTTGTGAAGGAACATATAATACCGAGACTCGAGAATAACTTGCCGCTGGGACGAAAAAGGGACTAGATAGGTGCACCAAATCGCACCACCTCATAGGATTGTCACGACCGTACTTTTCAATAGTTATGTAGAAATAAATTGGTAGATTGATGAAGCATCAATGTTGGGCCCAAGTGTAGCTAACACATATCAAACGAAAACATCAGAAAAACATTAGGTGATGCATAGTAACAAGCTGAACCCAGACTTCGCTTCTTCTGCACTGAAACTGGCTTTTGCAACGATCGCTGAGCCTTGGACCTAATCACAACATAGTGAAGACGAAAGCGGCAAGAAAAGTCTAAAAATCTTCCATATTCAATAGAGACAGGATGTTCACTTTATCAAGTTTACGACGAAAAACTGCTGAATTGGGTGAACTTACAATCTCTTCTGGTAACATCTGTAGCCACCTGACAGATCGATAGAAGAAAGAATTATGTAGTTTTGCTGAATGTGGCCTCTTTATATGTACATAGTCTAAAGCAAAGCTATTCCTTCGCCCATGACTTGGTCGGAAGACCCAGTACTTACTTGCCCTCAATTTGGTCTCCATACGTAACACTCGAAAGCATAACACCAAATCATGATAGATTCTTCGATAGAAAAGGGTTTTCAGCCCAAAAGATCTAAGTCTTGCCCCATAGCTGGGAAGAGGGTACGGATACGTGGGACTTGACTTGGATCTATGAAAGAGGAGTCTTGTAAAAGTTTGTTGCACTCTTTCGATTTTTGCTTGGTATTTCTTTGTTTGTGGACTCCATACCTGACAGCAGTATTCAAGTTGTGGGATCACATACGCTTTATAGAGCCTCAGAAAAATGTTCTCATCTTTGCTATGTATATTCCTGAATAGGAAGTATACAGTTCTGAGTGCTTTTTGAATAGTGCTATCTATATGGCTGGAGAAGTCAAGGGTTGGAAGATAAGTGATTCCTAGATCTTTCACGAAGGTCCGGCTCTGAAGAACAGTGTCATTGTATTGGTACTCAAAACCGTGATCATTTCCTACATGCATCACAAAGGATTTAGATAAGTTGACGGGTAACTCCCAATCACACGACCACTTCATCATTTTATCTATGGATTCAGAAAGGGCTTCAAACATTTCATCACGATTATTTTGATTGTACATGGCATAAACTTTTATATCATCGGCATAGATTTGCACTCTAATCGAGGGGTGGGTTTTTAATATCACCGGGAGATCTATACAGTACACAAGGAAAAGTATAGGAGAGAGTACACCGCCTTGTGGGACACCACTTGGACACAGGTGACGATCAGAAAATGAATGTCCCACTTTGACCCACATATGGCGATCTGACAGGTAGGATGAAAACCAATTCAGAAGACTTTCGCCAAGACCAATCATTTTCAACTTTAGGATGAGCTTCGAATGCTTCACTCTATCGAATGCTTTAGAGAGATCGAAGTAAACTATATCAACAGAATACTTGTTATTCAGAGCCGTAAACCAATCGAATGTACTATCCAACAGTTGAGTAGTTGTAGAAGCACCCTTTGAGAAACCATGTTGCTCACTTGGGATGAAGTGATGCCTATTAAGCCACCTGACAAGTCTGTCCCTGATGATCTTTTCCAAAATCTTCACTGCTACTGGGGTTATGCTGATGGGTCGAAAATTACTGATTAATCGTGTGTTGGAAATTTTGGGAATAGCGGTAACCAGTGCTTCCTTCCACATAGATGGAACCGATTCTACGAGCAAGGAAAT